ATTTTAAATATAAATACATTCTGAAATAAATAAATATGGTCAAATTTAATAAATAAATAAATGAATAAACATGCTAAAAAATTATTTTAATATATTGATTTAGTTTTATTTCATGGGGACATTTATTTATTTGATGGGATATTTATTAAAGGGCCAATATTATGTGTTTCTCAGGCATACATTTAAATACTATACCATAATAAAGTATCTATGCCACCTTTAGTTGTTATTAAAATGCTGTTTTATGTTTAAATAGAAAATAAACTTATATCATCACTTCCTCTTCTAAACGCCTTGAAATTGGCCTCTGTCTCTTTAAGAACCACCGTCCGCTTATGTCCTGTCCATTTCGGTGCGGGGGAGGTGGGGGGCTGCCATGATACAGTTTACTTGGCATCTGAAAATAAATTTCCTCAAACGTATTTTGAATCTGAGAAGAGCTTCACTGAGTGAGAAGTGGTGTTGAGAGCAGCAGACAGTTTAAGTTTCACTTTCACTTTGCTCTGTTACTGCTGAGAGCCTGCAGGAGTCATGGGCGGGGTGTGTGGGGTGGGGAGGGGTTGTGCTCTGCCATGAGGAAGTTTGGCTTAAAGACACGTCCCAGGGGCGTTTCTGGTCCCCACCTGTCATTTTGCTCCCCAGTGTGGCTTCCTAAAAACACTGCAGGATTTCTCAAACATGCATGAATGAGTCAAAGCAAGGCTTTGGGCATGTTTTTTTATGAGAGTATAACATTATAACATGATATAAAACTGAAAAAAGTTGATTTTACATTATATTGCCCCTTTAATACTTTATTAACTAGTATTTATTTAATTTTGAATGAAATGTCTTTCCATACAGCTGTGAATAAAATGAGTTTATGAGATCTATTAATCATTAGTGTTGACATAATTCCTCCCATTTACATTGTGGACAGATTAAGTTCAGATTAGGTTTATGTGTACATAAAATTATCTCAAATATAACATCTCTCATTGTTTCCTATAACGGAGAAAGTCTAAAGAAATAAAAGCTGCTCTCGCACCACAAAACGACTGTCCAGCTCCTCCAGAATCTCCTTTTCGTTCAGCGCCATGCTTTCTCCTCGCCATTTTTTCACATTGGTCTTCTCCAGCTTTTTGCAGGCATACATCATTCCTGTGGCCCGCACCTGGCAAGCCCACACCTGCAGATAAAACAAATACAGTCACATGACCACGAAAAACTTTCACCAATACTGCTGTCACAACAGAGCTTTTAAATGGGTCATGAATTAATGATGTGTTTCCTGACTTGATGAGCTGACTGAACAAGGAAACACATAGTTGAACATCTGACTTACGTAGGATTATTATAAATCAGTGATAACTTGTTACATATTGGAATATTGTCAACTAGGAAAAAAACAGCTTAGATTAAGTTTCAAAAAAAGGGCAAAAACAGTTCTGTGCATTGCTTCTGTGCAGCACTGTTAAGTGTTAGTTAATAGTTTTATGTTAACAGTGGGTGGAGCTTATTTAACTCTTTAATAGTGTTGTCTCAACTCTGAAATCAACTCGGTGAAAGAACACTAACGCTGGCTGTCAGTTAACTCAGAAAGTGTTAAAATAACACTTCAGGAGTTGAAATCAACTTTGAAAAGTTTAACTGTGAAATTTTAACTCTCCGGTTTTTGCCGTGTGCACTCCACTGGTCTGAGGAGAACCAGTTTAAGGTTTTGGACCAGTCCAGTCAAAGCCCAGACTTTGCTGGACCCAAGCAGCATCGTCCAACCTGAGTGAGCTGAAACAGTTTTGCCATGAAGAATGACCAAACTTTGAGACAAACTCACACAGACTTGATGCTGGGTCCAACAGTGGTTCTGTACAGTACTGACTTTGTAAGGAGGCAGTGAAGGAGTGTGGGTGGGTGGGGGCTGGGGAGATGTATTTATGCACTCACTACTTTACAATTGTAAGTTTTTCAGAACTATCCCATTTTGTTCTTTAAGGCAACAACAGAGAAAGATTACCAAAGGGGGGTCAAAACATTTGCAACCCACTGTAATATAAATATGGTCTTCTGGAAAAATTCACTTTAGCATTTTTTAATATTTTTAAAATATTTTACGATAGAGACAGATATTGAAGAGGTGTAGGTCTTACTTCTCCAAAGCCTCCTTTCCCCAGCAGCCTGTACTGTCTGAAATTCTGTTTGGAGATGGGCTGTCTTAAAGAGGAAAAAAGCAGGCTGGTTTTATTACAAATATTTATTTCAAATACGCAAATAGTATGTGTGTAGTATGTGTGATGAATCTGACACAAAGTAAACAGATAAACCAGCTAACAAAGTACTGATCTGTCTGTGATTTAATGTGGGACACCCAGTGGGGTGCGAAAGTTTGGGCAGCCTTGTTAATTTTCCTGATTTACCTTTATAAATCATTGATTGTTTGGATTTAAAAAATCAGTAAAATATATCATATAGGGGACAAACAGTGATGTTTGAGAAGTGAAATGAAGTTGATATAATTTACAGAAAGTGTGCAATAATTGGTTAAACAAAATTAGGCAGGTGCATAAATTTGGGCACTGTTGTCATTTCATTGATTTCAAAACCTTTAGAACTAATTATTGGAACTAAAAAAATTAGTTTGGTAAGTTCAGTGACCCTTGAGCTCCATACACAGGTGACTCCAATTATGAGAAAGGGTATTGGGGGTAAGTTTTTCTCCTCTTTGCATCTTCTTTGAAGAGTGGCAGCATGGGAGTCTGAAAACAACTTTCAAATGAGCTGAAAACAAAGATTGTTCACAGTCATGGTTTAGGGGAAGGATACAGAAAGCTATCTGAGAGATTTCAGCTTTCAGTCTCCACTGTGAGAAACATTGTGAGAAAATGGAGGACCACAGGCACAGTTCAAGTCAAGGCTGGAAGTGGCAGACAAAGAAAAATCTGGAATAAAGAGAAGCGAAGGATGTTGAGAACAGAGTCAACCCACAGACCAGCACCAAAGACCTACAACATCATCTTGTTGCTGATGGAGTCACTGTGCATCGTTCAACTATTCAGCACACTCTACACAAGGAGATGCTGTATGTGAGAGTGATGCAGAGGCCTTTTCTCCGCCCACATCACAAACAGAGCTGCTAGAGGTATGCTAAAGCACATTTGGACAAGCCAGCTTCATTTTGGAATAAGGTGCTGTGGACTGATGAAACTAAAATAGTTATTTGGGCAGAACAAGGGCCGTTATGCATGGAGGAAAAAGAACACAGTACTCCAAGAAAAACACCTGCTACCTACAGTAAAATGTGGTGGTGGTTCCATCATGCTGTGGGCCTGTGTGGCCAGTACAGGGACTGGGAATCTTGTTAAAGTTGAGGGATGCACGGATTCCAACCAGTATCAGCAGATTCTGGAAACCAATGTCCAGGAATCAGTGACAAAGCTGAAGCTGCTGAAGCCGGGGCTGCATCTTCCAACAAGACAACGACCCTAAACACTGCTCAAAATCTACTAAGACCTTCATGCAGAGGAACAAGTAGAATGTTCTGGAATGGCCATCTCAGTCCCCAGACCTGAATATTATTGAAAATCTGTGGTGTCACTTAAAGAGAGCTGTCCATGCTCAGAAACCATCAAACCTGAATGAACTAGAGATGTTTTGTAAAGAAGAATGGTCTAAAATACCTTCAGCCACAATCCAGACTCTCATCAGAAGCTGTAGGAAGTGTTTAGAGGCTGTTATTTCTGCAAAAGGAGGAACTATTGAATTAATGTTTTTTGGTGCCCACATTTATGCACCTACTTTATTTTGTTTAACCAATTATTGCACACTTTCTGTAAATTATATCAACTTCATTTTACTTCTCAAATATCACTGTGCTTGTCCCCTATATGATATATTTGACTGATTCTTTCTTAATCCAAACAATCAATCAATGATTTATAAAGGTAAATCAGGAAAATTAATAAGGCTGCCCAAACTTTCGCACCCCACTGTACGCATGTGTGCTTTTGGACACATGAAGACATATAAAGACACAAGAAGACAACACATGAAAAAGACACATAAAGAAGACACATGAAGACATGACGAAGAAACATGAAGATACATGAAGACACAAAGCAGTGGCAGCTGGTCAATAGAGGGCGCTAGGGTGCTTCCCCCCACTATTTTTTGAGACACACACACAAAAAAAATACAAATAAAATAACAAAAGAAAACATTTAGTAGAAATATCTACACACGGGTTAGACAAAGAAACTGAAACACCTGGTTTTAGACAATAACATGCCTTTCAGACAGCTTCCTCTTACGTCCACAGTTAATCCTGTTGGATGTGGTTGGTCCTTCTTGGTGGTATGCTGACATTACCCTGGATACCGTGGCTCTTGATGCATCACAAAGACTTGCTGTCTTGGTCACAGATGCACCAGCAAGATGTGCACCAACAATTTGTCCACTTTTGAACTCTGGTATGTCACCCATAATGTTGTGTGCATTGCAATATTTTGAGCCAAACTGTGGTCTTACCCTGCTTATTGAACCTTCACACTCTGCTCTCACTGGTGCAATGTGCAATTAATGAAGCTTGACCAATTTAGCCATGAAACCTCCCACACTAAAATGACAGCTGTTTCACTTTCATTGTCTAAACCTCTGTATGTTTTAGATGTGTAAGATAAACCTTTTATAGTTATTAATGGGTAAACTTATTTCACTCATGAACATTGTCATGTGTTTAGTAAACTGAGCTGTGCCCAGAATGTGATTTTCATACCAGTAGTGGGTCAATGTCATATTCAGTAAGGCAGTGCAGGTCCAGAAGTAAACCAGTAAACAAATGGAGGGGCTAAACAATTTAACTATGTCTTTTAAATCAAAACCTTTTTTGATGAGAACACGTGTCATTAGGAGAAGTTTAAAGTAAACGAACTTGGACCCAATCAGCCAGACACGAAGAGCAGAGTTAATGAAGAGTTAACTTAGATTATAGAGTTCAGTTAGTTTTACAGCCGCTGACAGGTGGTCCTGGGTAAAGCAGCTGGAGGTAACACGTGGGGAGAACAGGTATTGCGTTGGTTGTGTCGCGTTTTGGATTGCATGCACACACACTGCAAGCAAGGGAGCACACACACAGTGCGTGTACTCCCTTGCTTGCAGGGGAGGTGTTTATACTTGGCAATTATGTTGTTGTAGATTTCTCCAAAATGACATGTGGAAGTACACTATATAACTTGTGAAAATGCTGTAAGTAGGAGCCTTCATGGAGTTACAAAAATTCAGAGGTGGACGACCATGTGCCAGGACAGCATGCAGGGGCAGGGATGGCGCGATTGCGTCACATATGGCGCAAGCTCCCTCACGCCTGGCGCAGTTTGTCAACTACAGTATAGCTTAACAGGAGGACACTCAGCTCATTTGAAGGGGATCCTTTAAAAGCCTGACAGCTGAAGTCAGATCATGCTGCTGACATTGTTTGTATTGTACCTCTTCTGTTTTTGCTACAAGTAAAAGAGAGCTCAACTAGATCAGCTGCTTGTTTATTCCTTGTGTTTTGATAATTAATTTATCCAACAAAGACACATGAGAACTAATGAAGAAAGATGAGGACACATGAAGACACATGAGAAGAAAACAAAGATACATGAAGACACATACTATAGATATATGAAGAAGACACATGAGTAGGGGGACATATGAGAAGAACACATAAAGATACATGAAGAAGATACATGCTGTAGATATATGAAGAAGACATGAGAAGAAGACACAGAAATGTACATGAACAACATATGAAAAGGAGACAAATGAGAAGAAGACATAAAGACACATGAAAAGGAGACATATGAAAAGACATAAAGATACACAATGAAGACATATGAGAAGAAGACATTTAAAGGTACATGTAGAAGACAAATGAGGAGGAGACAGAAAGAGACGACACAAAGATACATAAAAAAGACACATGAAGAAAACACATGAGAAGCAGACATAAGAAGAGGACACATACAGATGCATAATGAAAGCACATGAAGAAGACACATGATAAAAAGACACACAAGGACCTATGAAGACACATAAAGAACACACACACACGACTGACCTTTCCAGCATCTTCCACTGTAGAAAACGGTCAAAATACATGCTGTCCATGTACTGGATGAAGGGCTCTTTGCTCAGGTATTCATGTAGTTCTCTACCATCCAACACAAACTGTCAGTTTTCTTCAAATATTCAGAATTTATTCAACAGAAATGTGAACCTACTCTTTACAGTCAGAAAAGACGTCTTCATAGGGAGCTAGCTTCAGATAGTTTCTGCAGCTTTGTTCATATCTCTCCATGATGGACACGAACTGGTCAGACTGCATGGATGAGGTCATTTAAAACGTTTAGACAGTATTTTTAGTGGGAGGATATCAAACTGCAACATGACAGAGAGTAACAGTTCAAATGAACCATGGAGAGTGTCAGACCTGCCGGCTGAAGAACATCTGGATGATACTGTTCCCAAATTCTGTCCTCTCTTTTTCTGACTTTGTCTCAAATGATTCCTAAAGGAGTTAGAGGGGACAGAGGGTAAGAAAAGGTTTACACAGAAATATGCAGCTCTTCTCAACGTCCGCTACGGGCTATTAATGGTAAATTAAATTAGTTAGACACGATTTAGAAAAGCAAACATCGTTTTTTTATAGAAGACATCCAAACTGACATTGTAAATCAGAGTGAAAACCAAAGAACTGCCTCCTTGATTAGAACGCTGCATTGTTGAAGGTTCTAAATGCACAGTGGTCCCCATTATTCTCAACTGGAAGAAGTTTTAATTTTTTTTTGCTTGTATTAAGCGGTCATTTTTGTCTTTCTGCTGATAAATCTGCAGTTTAGCACAACCAGGTTCCTTCTGGGAGATTCTCACCTGGCCTCACAAAGCAAATGAAGGAGCTAAGAGCTTAGACTAACAGACTAACAGGCCTATGTGTGTGTGCAGGGGGGTGTATGTATTTCCAGGCACATAGTTCAGTTCTTTACAAACAATGATGCAAGTATGTTAACTTCAGTTGTTATGAAAATGCTGTACATATCAAAAATAAATCAGACGTTGCATCATAGCCCATCTAATAACCTTGAAATTGGCCTCTGTCTCTTTAAGAACCTCCTACCACACTCGCGCCTCATCACATTTTCAAACTGCTCTGTGGAGCAGGAGCTCGACTGCAGACTGAGCTCCAGGGAGGAGCTTTGTAAATCTGCTGTGCTTTGTACCAGTAAACGTTTAGGCAGCTCCACATGGCTGACACAGGACATTCAATGATTTCTCAGACATGCATGAATGCATCAAAGCAACATGGCTGTTTTATGGTATAGTTTTATGCAGTGCTTCTTGGGATAGTGAGGGCTGTGGACGATACACCAGACCTCAACTTGGGGGAAATGGAGGGTGCATTTGTGGCCTGTAATTGGAGGAGCCTTTGAATCTGGACAGCCTTCGAAGCATCACTGTGACATAATCGGCCTTCAAATTTGGCCTTCGAAGGATGCAGCCTCTGAATTTGGACACAGCCTCTGTGGAGATGGGTGTGTAGGTCTGTTTTCCCTGTTCAGACCTGGCATCAACATCCACCTTGGCTAATTCGTTTGAAAGTGGACAGTCTGATTCGCAGCAGGCAGTTAGCTGTATTCTCCACAACAGGGCCAGCCTGTTGCAAAGACAGCAAAGGCAAATGCTAAGGGCGTCGTCCAATTCTAAGGGGTGCCACAAATGAAGAACAAAAAAAAAATTATAACTTTTTATTAGAGCTGTTACAATTAACATGAACAGGTTCTCCTCATTGCTGTCAGCAAATGTTGTCAAGTATGAGGTAGACTTCTGGTATTCTGTTTAAAATGCATTGTATATTTTAATCAGACAAACTGGTGTCTAAAGAAAAAAATACTACAACAGACAAAGTTATTTAATTGGTATGTGAATGTATGTAAATTGGCAGAAGGGGTGGGCACCAATATTGCCAGGGCTGGCCCTGCTCCACACTGTGCTTACAACCTGATGTTGATTCTTCTGAGCTGCAAGCTGGACCTTTTCTTTCACCACTCTGTGTTAAATTAGCTGCTGTGTTTGGGAACATTGTGACCCAGTTTTGGCCAAGTTCATCCGTGGGTCACACGACCTCATGTTTGACTGAATACCTCAATCCTTTGGTCAATAGAGGAGTTTATGATTGACTTAACGATTGTAAGGCATTCTGGTCCTGTAGTTGCAAAACAAGTTCAACTCATTTTATCTTCTCCATCTGGTTTGACAGTATGATGTTTAAAACAAACAAGATTCAGTGCATTATGGGTAAACATCTGAGATGTGTTAAACCATGTTTGAGTTCTTTTATGTTCGATAAAGGATTTTTCACAGAGCTTTTCATATTTTATTTGTTTTTGTCTGTGCTAAAATGGGGTGGAAAATTTGAAAATGTTCAGTATTTTTCATAAATATTAGGTAATTTCAGGAGAGTTTCATGTACAGGTGCCTTCAGGTTTCTGGAGTTAATGTGTTTTAAACAATCATTATAATGCAGGGATGATCAGTTCTAAGATTTCTGCTATGTTTGAGCTAAAGTTTATGCTAACCTGACCACATTTACTCACCATATTCTGGTGATTGATGCACACTTACATGTCACTGTTTAAGTCATTTGTTTGTTTGTGTGTGTGTGTGTGTGTGTGTGTGTGCGTGTGCGTGCGTGTGTGTGTGTGTGTGTGTGTGTGTGTGTGTGTGTGTGTGTGTGTGTGTGTGTGTGTGTGTGTGTGTGTGCGTGCGAGTGTGTGTGTGTGTGTGTGTGTGTGTGTGTGTGTGTGTGTGTGTTTCTGGTGACATTTGGTGGCAATTAAAAAAACGCCTACATTTGGGGACAAAAGTGGAGTCCCCATTTGGTTTAAATGCCATTGGTGGGTTGGGGGTTGGGTTTAGGACCAAGGTGTGAATTGAGTTTAGGTTAGTTTTAGGGTCAGGTAGGTACCTGTGAGGTTAGCCTTAGGGTTTGTGGTCAGGGTTAGGCTGTAGGAATGTAATGGAAGTCAATGGAATGTCCCCAATTGGATAGCTGTGCGAACATGTGTGTGTGTGTGTCTTAATGCATTTATATTAAATTATTTGACTATTTACGAGCCCCCCCCCCCCAACTAAATTCCTCAGGAGCATGGCCTGAACACCTCTGCTATGGTCTTGTCTGCAGTGTTGTATAAAGTACCACAAAGTGATACTAGAGTAAAAGTACAAGTATCTTACAAAAAATTACTTTGCTAAAAGTTAAAGTCTCCTTATGGTACATTACTTGAGTAAAAGAATTAAAGTGTCTGATATTTTTTGTACTTAAGTATTAAAAGTAAACATATTGATTTAAAATGAGCAGTTAGATTTTCTGTAAGGACATTTATTAGGAGGTGACCACAAAGAATGCAGAAATGACTATATCATATTAAATAATTCAGGATGCTCCAGTCCAGCTGTTTCAGTTTATATACATATATCAAGGCTGCACAAACATTTTCCCCAAAATGAAAATCTATCTGAGGGCTGCGGCCAAATGTAATAATATAATTCATGAAATACAAATACCTCCTCCACTTTTAAAAATACAGTCCTTTTATTTTTAATGATTAAGCTACCAGCCAGTGCTGTGGCCCACGTTTTTGACTAACTGCAATACAACACCTTATATGGTCATTGGGTCAATGAATGTAATGACTTTAGGTGGAAATACTGTGTTTCTACATAGGACCAAAGGGCTATCCATCAGGTCCACCAATGCGTCCCCCCTACCCACTCCCAATCTGAAAAGGGGGTGTCTGGACATAAAAAATGCTTATCACTCAAAAACTATTCAACATAGAAGCCTCCGTTTTTCGTTTTGTTTGTTTTAGCCCTGATAAAGGGCTATCCATCCGATCCGTCAATTAGCCCCCCACCCCATCTGAAAAGTGGGTGTCTGGACATAAAATGCTTATAAATCAAAAACTATTCAACACAGGAGCTGCAGATTTATTTTTGTTTTTTGACTCTGATGACGGGCTACCTATAAGACCCACCAACGAGAACCCCCCACTCCCAGATCCCAACCCAAAACAATAAACCTATTCTGATAATTCTGAGTTCTGGTGCATTGGTGCTTTGCGTACATGCAGGAGTCATAATACTCCCACTATGCAGTCTCTAGTCTTTCATCTTTGCTTTTGTTTAATAAATAATGACACAATGGAAGCGGTTGTGTGTTTTCTACACTTCAGGTTGGATTTAAATCACTCTAAAACTTGGTAAAGACCAAATAATTTATAATAATACGTCATAACATGTAAATCGCTAAAACTGAAAGAGGGTGGATTTTGTTTCTCATGTAAATAAAGTGCTTGACTAGTGTTTGAATATAACTTCTATAAAAGTCTAAAATCTATACTAAAATACAGAAGAATATACACTTCATTGAGTTTTGAATTAGTGGTTAAAATTAGCCTAAAAAACAAACTGGATCTTACATCCAGCTTTTTAATAAATTCCTTTATTACACTGCAAAAAATATCCACCTAACCAAGTTTTAAAATCTTATACCCAGCCAAAAAGTCTTTTTGATCTTGTTTTGAGACTGATTTACTAAACAAGAACTGATTGT